TGCTCATATGCATGCGGACCGGTGCGCGGGCGCGAGAGAGGGTTGTGGTTTATGTGTTTATTCGCCGGCCGGCTGGGAAGCTATCATCGGAGGATCCGAGGAGTGGACCTGGGGGCGGAGGGGAGCAGGACTGGGACTCGCTTGGGTTTTGTTTCTCTTTGGAGAACGTGGTGGGCCCTTCTTTCTTGGTTAGACTTGGTTCCCTCTTTTTAGGAGGGTGGGCGGCTGTGGCGGAGCTCCGCAGCTCCCAGGGCTCCGGGCCCTCGGCGCCCAGCGGGACTGGCCGTGACGCCGGAACTGGCTGTGCGCTCCCGGCCGCACTTGGTGGGTGCCAGGCTCTGCACCTGATGCGTTCGGGCGCCTTTCCCACCCGGCGCGCCCGCAGCTCGCCCTCTCGGCCCCGGGACGCTCCCGCGGGCGGTGGAAACGCGCACGGTCTCCCCGGCCTGCGGACCGCGGGAGCGCTCAGACGTCCTCGGCGCGGACTCCCTCGCCCGCTCCCCGGGACGCGCGCACGGTGCCGGGGCCGGGCACACCGCTGCTGGCGGCGCCGGCTCGCGGCCGGGGATCTTGCCCTCCGCTCCCGGGGGTCACGGCCCTGGGTCGGAGAGGGAGGGCCGGCCGCTCCCTCCTTGCCTTCCCTCCCACAACTCTCGGTGGGGCTTTTGTGCTTCCCCTTAGCGGCGAGGCGGTCCACTTCCCGGCTCTTGCCCCGGCGCCCGGCCCGCCCGGACTCTAGCTTTTCGTCCGGGTCCCTTTTTGCTTTTCCTCTTCCCTAGACCGGCTCCCTTCCTTTCTGCCGTCTGGATCCCCGAGAAAAGTTGCTTCTCCAAGTTTGCCGAAGTCGTCTCCAAGTCTCCGTAAGGCACGGCTGACTGAGGGCACCCAGATTCCCCTTAGGACCCAAATAGCTTGTTTTGGGGAAGGTATTCAGTAGCCCAGCTTGCATTCGTTGCATTGCTCTCGGAAACCCCTAAGCAGTCTGTGGAAAAGCCATAGGGGAGGATGAATGGCCTCAGTCCCCACCCCAGGCTGGGCAGCCAGCGGGCTTGATGAGAGGTACTGCTACCCTACCTGCGGGCGCTTTTGGCTCTGGAACCCGTAGGGCTCCTTCTGGGGGCAGAAGCAAGTAGTGTTGGGAGATTTAGGGAGAACCCTTGCTCGGCTTTGCTCCCAGTTCATTTCTTGACCACAGCGAGGCAGAGGCTGGAGGGTACTGGGCCTGCGAGGTCTTTCCAGGTCTTTAAACGGTTGGGGGTGGTGGTGGCGGTGGTGGGGAGGGAGGCCTGTTATTGATCCTGAACAGCTTGCTGTGGGGTAGACCTTTGTCTCCCAGCCCTGTCTTCCCTTCATACCGGTTGTAACTCGCACCATAGATGCTGGTGCCAGAGTCACTTCTAGCACCGGGAGCCATGCCCAGCAGCAGTTGCTGCTCCTGGTCACAGGACTTGCCCACTCCCGAGAGCCCGCGGGACACACTGGGAGTTCATATTCTAGATTGCACTCCTGGCTGTGAGGGTCCATATTTCCTATGACCTCTCTTCTGAGGTCCTCCACGACCTGTCCTCCTACATTTTATAGGTCCTCTTGTCCACTGGGCCCCGTGGGCAGGGGTAAGTGAGGCATCTTACATAAGTGTGCACCCATGTGTTAGGATGGGCCTGAAGAAGAGCCCTTGCCCTTGGATGTCTGTGGGCCAGACTGCAGGCTGCTAGCCCCAGCGAGGCTTGGCTTTGGTCCTGGGGCCACCACAGAGAAGCAGGGTTCAGAAAAACGTTGTTTTGAAGATGAAGTTTGTTGCACAGGGGGCTGAGAGTGAAACTCAGGGTTTAAATTGACCAAAGGAAGTGGCTCAATTCTTACTGATTTTCAGCAAGTGCTGGGCACCTCCTCATAACATGTTGGCCTTGCACAGGCCCCCCCCCAGACTTAAGACCAGGGCTCTGAAGACTCCATTATAATTTTCATTTTACTTTGCCAGTAAATTAGGCATATGTTATGGCAGAAATTTATCTTTGCTCTCATTGGTGGGTTTGTAAAGGCAGACTCCTAGATTTCTAGGAAGCCCCTTGCCCTCTGTTAAAATCTCCAAGATGCTCTTGCTGGCTGAATGAGGGTGGGGTTGTATTGTTTGAATTTTTTTAGAAACACTGACTAGCTTTTATTCTGTTATCTTTTTTGCCTCTTCCCCCTTTCTCCCTTCTAGCTTCTCCGTCGGCTCACGAAACCCAGCCCGCCCCACCACGCAGAGCCTGGAAGGAAAGAGAGCCCCATGCCTAAGCCGCGGGCAGCACCATGGATCTGACAAAGATGGGCATGATCCAGCTGCAGAACCCCAGCCACCCTTCGGGGCTCCTGTGCAAGGCCAACCAGATGCGGCTGGCCGGGACGCTGTGCGACGTGGTCATCATGGTGGACAGCCAGGAGTTCCATGCCCACCGGACCGTGCTGGCCTGCACCAGCAAGATGTTTGAGATCCTCTTCCACCGCAACAGCCAGCACTACACTCTGGACTTCCTCTCGCCAAAGACTTTCCAGCAGATCCTGGAGTATGCCTACACGGCCACGCTGCAGGCCAAGGCGGAGGACCTGGACGACCTGCTGTACGCCGCGGAGATCTTGGAGATCGAGTACCTGGAGGAGCAGTGCCTGAAGATCCTGGAGACCATCCAGGCCACAGACGACAATGACACGGAGGCCACCATGGCGGACGGCGGGGCGGAGGAAGAAGAGGACCGCAAGCCTCGGTACCTCAAGAACATCTTCATCTCGAAGCATTCCAGCGAGGAGAGTGGGTATGCCGGCGTGGCTGCGCAGAGCCTCCCTGGGCCCATGGCGGACCAGAGCCCGTCCATGTCCACCTCATTTGGACTGTCAGCCATGAGTCCCACCAAGGCCGCAGTGGACAGTTTGATGACCATAGGACAGTCTCTCCTGCAGGGAACTCTTCAGCCCCCTGCAGGGCCCGACGAACCTACTCTGGCAGGGGCTGGGCGGCTCCCTGGGGTAGCTGAGGTGAAGACAGAGATGATGCAGGTGGACGAGGTGCCCAGCCAGGACAGCCCTGGGGCAGCCGAGTCCAGCGTTTCAGGCGGATTGGGGGACAAGGTTGAGGAAAGGGGCAAAGAGGGGCCCGGGACCCCAACTCGGAGCAGCGTCATTACCAGTGCGAGGGAGCTGCACTATGGGCGCGAGGAGAGTGCCGAGCCGCTGCCGACCCCCGCGGAGGCCGGCCAGGGTCCCCCGGGCCGACAGGAGCACCTGGCGCCCACCGCAGAGAAACATCTGGGCGTCTACTCCGTGCTGCCCAACCACAAGGCTGACTCTGTGCTGAACATGCCGTCGTCGGTGTCCTCCGGGCTCCACGTGCAGGTGCAGCCCGCCCTGGCTGTGTCCATGGACTTCAGCACCTACGGGAGCCTGCTGCCGCAGGGCTTCATCCAGAGGGAGCTGTTCAGCAAGCTGGGTGAGCTGGCTGTGGGCATGAAGTCGGAGAGCCGGACCCTCGGGGAGCCGTGCAGCGTATGTGGGGTGGATCTTCCTGACAACGAGGCTGTGGAGCAGCACAGGTAGGTCCCTCGCCAGCCCCAGTGTCACCCGGCCCCAACCTCTGGCCCTGGCAGCCTGCCCTCATCCCTGGCTGCTCCCGCGTCCTGGGGCCCGACTCCCCTGTCCTCCCTGCTGTTTGTAAAAAAACCCATGTCTTTCTAAGTCTTGGGATTGGGGTATGCCTTCCAAGTGTGGTGAGGGCCCTAGGGTGTTGCCTTCGTGTTGGGGAATGCACAGACCCAGATCTTACTAGGCTCTTGATGCTTTCTTTTTTCGGGCTCCCATTTGCTTGTTCTGCTGTTGGACCTGTTCTCTTTTGCCTGGAGTGGCTGATAACGTGGAGGGAGGGAGAAGAAAAGGCGGGGTTGAGGATGAAGGTGTCCCACGGCCTGGATCTGGCCATGCCGCCAGGTTTCAGGTCCTCAGTTCCCATCAGTGGTCTCTGCAGAGGCAGGCCGTCTGCAGCTCAGGAGGACGGGAGGGGCCGGACGCTGCTTAGTGCTCGAGAGCAGCTGCCGGTCCGAACGTCATTCCTGATGAACGTTCATCACCAGGAACACGGCTTCCTCTCTCGCTTCCCATTCTCTGTTTCCAGAAACACATTTAGAAGGAGTCGATTTACATATGAAGGGGGAAGGATGGGTATGAGAGACTTGGGGCCAGCGTTGGCTTCCTCTGGCTTCTGTCCCTTCTCTGTGAAATAACCATTGCGCGCTTAGGACATGTCTGCCCCAATACGAAGTGCTTGCCGTGGAGTCACGTCTTTGTTACGACCCTCTGAGACAGGCCATGTGCTCCCTTCACATGGGAAGACACGGAGACCTTTTGCCAGGATTGCAGAGAAAGTAGGAGGCAGAGCTGGATTCAAGTTCAGCTCCAGAGCCCTTTGCTGCCTTTTGGAGTCATTCAGTCCTGAAGAGGGCTGTGCCCATAGCACAGAGGGTTCTGAAGATTCCTCATCAGTCAGGCCTGGTGTTTGCCTGCATCTGTCATAAGGACATGCCCATCATTTTACCCTCCAGCCCCGGTTCTGATGCGTGGTATGGAGCAGTTCAGTTTCTGTCGTCATTGTAATAACATTTGCCTGTGTGCCCTTTTGCCTGCCCTTTGTCTGTTCTTGGGGGATCCCCACTTTTGCACCCCTCTCTGTCTACTCCTTTCCTCCATTTCTCATTAGTGTAGGAGGGGATGTGACTGAGGGGGTGTGGGGCGGGGTGGGGGGGGGGCGTCTGGAGGTTTGTCTGATGACCCCAAGCTGAGGCGGATTCAGACAGTGACAGTACCTAATCGTGGCTCTGAGGGTTACTGACCTCGTGGAAAGTGTTGCTTCATTAAACGTTAGCCGAGTTTTCCGGCGGGTGCGGAAAAATAACCACCGCTAAGGTGTGTCTTGATGCTTGTGCCGCTCAGAAGTAGACCGAGTTCGTGTTTGTTTTTGCTCAAACTTTCCTCAAGAGGAAACCCCCTCCTCAAACTTGACCAGGTAGGTTTCTTGTCTTCTCCGGATGTGAATGATTTCAGTGTCGTGCTGTGAGAAGTGGGCTCTGGTGGGAAGGAAACGCTTTGCTGGCTGTCCTCGGGCCCGGCTGCCTCTCTTGACTGAGGGGGCTACGAAGCTGGCACCCGCCCAGGTCTTCCAAGTTCCCGTCCTGCGGGACCCTCGGTCCCCCTGGGAGGGGCTGGGGCCTGGCGGTGCGATACTTCCTGGAGTGAGCGAGGTGGTGAAACTGGAGTTTAGGAAACCTTTCTGAGCCCTGTGTTACTTTTTATTTATTTATTAACAAAATATTTTTCTTGGGTTACTTTTAAAAATGGAGGTGGTTAGCAGGGTGTGGTGCTGAATTAATGGAAGTAATAGCTGGAAGTCCCTAGAGCTGAGACAGTACCCAATAACTGTGAAGGTGAAGAACTGACCCTCTGTCCCCCGTCCTGTTTGGGTCTCACGTCTGCCTAACCCCGTTGGATCCGAGCTCCAGTGCGAGTGTCCACCGCGCGGCCATCCCAGGGCTCTGCTGGCTGCGGGCGTTGTGGGGAGTGGCCCTGTCCCGTGGACTTGGGGTGCTGAGGCGCTGGTCCTGGGCCCTTGGTGTCATGCTGTGGGCTGCTGGCATGGAGAATGTGCTTTGACTGAGGGTGGAGAGTAAGCTGCCGCAACCCAGGAAACCAGGGCCTGGGGCAGTGCCAGGGTGGAAAGCCATGAGGGTCTAGAGAAGTCAAGGAGGGGACACAACACTCCTGCGTTCCCTGGCCCTCAGACTGGCAGCCCCGCAGCTCCTGGTCAGACGGCCTCACCCCTCTCTCTCCCTCAGAGCTCCTGGATTAAGGTGCTACTTCCCTACTTCCTACTGTTCTCTGTTCCTCCCCCACATCCCAGCTACCAGCAAAAACAGAGAAGCAACACAAAACAATCAGTGGGAGACTCTGACATCAGAAGACGGAATTGGCTGTAATATAACAGTGACGAACATAGTGAAATAACAGGCGACGGATTTACTTTATTTTTAAATATATTTTTATTGATTTCAGAGCGGAAGGGAGAGGGAGAGAGAGAGAGAAACATCCATGATGAGAGAGAATCACTGAATCGGCTGGGGATGGAGCCCACAACCCCGGGCTGTGACCTCCTGGTTCACAGGTTGAGGCTCAACCACTGAGCCATGCCAATTGGGCAGGTTTTATTTTATTTATTTATTTAGTCTTTTTAAACATTTTAACTTAAATTCTTTATTGTTTAAAGTATTACGTAAGTCTCCCCCCCTTGACGTCTCCCCAGCCGCTCCCACCCCCCAGCACATGCCCTCACCCCCCTACTGTTTGTGTCCATTGGTTATGCTCATGTGCATGCATACAAGTCCTTTGGTTGATTTCTTACCCCCCCCCCATTTTGTTTTTACGCCCATAGACTAGAGAGTGTTGGTAAAGGTTAAGTCCCTTGCAGTTGTTGGGGAGCAGAAGGGCATGGAGAGGAAGGAAGGGGAACTTGCTGGGAAGTGGTGCAGGAAGGAGAGCTTGTTATGGAATGCCATCAGTAGGATTCCTCATGATTGGGCCTCAAGCTGGTGAGAGAGGAGCCTGTTAGCATGGCAGAAAGTTGGAATGAAACCTAGTGAAGTTGTGGTCCCTACAGTGCACGGCGAGGTGTAAAAGCAATGTTAAATGTAGTCCTGGATGGAAGGAAAGGCCAGACAAAGACACTACCTAAATAAATCAAATGGGACTGACTTCCCTAAGGGTCCAGAAGGAAGTCGGAACAGTTAGAAGTCCTGATCGGCAGCATTCTCAGGCAGACGGAGGAGCAAGCTCTGGGCCCCCACGCCTTCCCCAGGAGGCCCACATTATAGAAGATAAGACTGAGGGAGGGAGGTGATGTTGGGAGGGCCACAGTAAGCTTCTGGAAGACTGGAATCTCTCTCTAGGCCAGTGATGGCGAACCTGTGACACGCGTGTCAGAGGTGACACGCGAACTCATTTTTTTGGTTGATTCTTCTTTGTTAAATGGCATTTAAATATATAAAATAAATATCAAAAATATAAGTCTTTGTTTTCCTATGGTTGCAAATATTAAAAAATTTCTATATGTGACATGGCACCAGAGTTAAGTTAGGGTTTTTCAAAATGCTGACATGCCGAGCTCAAAAGGTTCGCCATCACTGCCCTAGGCGCAGTCTCTCTTCCGTCTCTTTCTCTTCTGAAAGGCTGGAACAGTGCTGCACGTAGGCTTGTCTGGATCTGCTCTGGGACCGGCTCCCGTGGGCCAGACGCACCTTCTCATTCTCAGAGTGCATACGTATGTGCTATGTATGTTCACCTAAGTGTGAACACAGTCGTCAGTGATAGCCCTCAGCCTCCCCAGGCTCATACAGCCTGGTCGTAAGATGTTTCTGAACTCAGTGCTGCAGGATCCGCGTGGGATCTGGCTTCCTAGGATGCTGGATCTTCTACATACAAACCCTCAGGCCAGCGACCGTGCGTGTCCTGCACACACACACACAGTAGGCTCTCTGGCCTGGCTCCTGCAGAGACGCTCAGGAACCAGAAGGAACGGCCTCAGCCAGCGCCCTAGACCCAGCTCTGGGGTGCCCGAGCCATATAGTTGAGATGTCAGAGCTCTGCCTGGCCCTTTGCCCCGGTCTCTCTCAGGTAGCCAGTTGCTCTGTTTTCAGTGATTGACCATGGAGAGGGCCAGTAGCCATTGACCTTGGTTTTGGCCAGTTTGGGGAGGTTAGAAGTTGCCCTGAACTCTTGGTCCCTTTTCATCATTCTGCCAGCTTTAGGCACCTGTGAGGTCAAACCAAGTTCTGTTTGGAAAAGAGTATGCTGTGGGGTAATGGTAGCAACAGCAATAATGTTATGAATGCCTTTTTTCAGTTGTAGCACTTTCTCTTTTGCAAAGCATCTTCACTGACTTTGTGTTTCTTAACCTCAATCCTCCCCAGAGGGGAGGCAGGCCCATCATCACTCCATATCTGTGATGATGAAGTCTGAAGAACTCTGCAAGCTGCGGATAGGTTCTTTGTGAGTTTGCAGCAAACTCATTTAGTGGCAAAGCCTCATCTGAACTGATGTGAGGCTATATTTTTCCTGTCTATTTTGAATATTCATTTGCTTTGCTGCAAAAATATTGATGTGTTTGATTACAGAATGCTTCCTTAGACTCCTCTGGGACTGGGCAGACACGATCAGCCCTGTAGTGCCTTTGTAGAATCTGAACCATTTGGGTTTCTGAAGCACCACAGGGTTTTGGATAAGGGACTGAGGGCCATTAGCAGCTCCAGTTCACAGATGAGGAGAAGAAGCCGTGGAGCCAGTAAGTGACTTGCCCACGGTTGCATAGCTATAAATGGAGAGGACCAGCCCCACCTAAGGCACAGCCCGGGTGCTCCACGCCAGGCCATATAAGAACATGTGCATGCCGTTTTGGGTCGGTTCCATCTGACCTAGTCTTCGGTTGCCAACCCTGGCCCTGAGATGCCACCATAGGAGGCTACAGCTATCTTCCTTGACGTCAATCCTAAAGGTC